AAATTCGTTATCAAGCCAAGTTTTTGCTTCAACTGTATTTTTTCCCTTCAAAAAGCAATATTTTATCAACACGCGAAATTCCTTTTTATCCATTTTTTTCACAATAACAAAAGTTGCTTCACTTAAAATGCTATAATTCACAAACTAATGATCCGACAGCCGTCAAATTTATAGACGCGTCTTTTGAAGGTTAGGACTAACTGAAAAACATATGGATTTAGTTCTGGTGCCGCCATCTATGTGTCAGGCCGGGGACTTTTCAATTGACCCTATACATATACACAAAATGGGTTTCGTAATGATTTTCGTTTCCTTTCCTTTTTATGCTATATACAGGACCGATCCTGGCGACGGACGAAAATTGGGGGAAATCTCCCCCGTCGTCGTCGTCGTCGTCGTCAAATTTGGGATCGGCCCTGTCTATATAATTATATATACGCGTTCCGGTAAAAAAAATTAGCACAACACCACTGGTGGTAAGTAGAACCAATATCTAAAATTTACTTTTAAAGAACTTTCCAACAATTTTCTACATGTTGGAGTTCGCAAAAAAGTTATTATACCTAAAATTGTCGGATATACAGTGAGATAAAACAATAACATAAAAATAGGGACATATTTACTAAACTTGCGGGAAAGGGCATGCAGGTTTATAAAAAATTTGCATGTAAAAGTTCGACTTCTTGAACCTCTGTAGATATTAGAACAGTGGTGAGGAATGTGCGGCTTCGAATCGCATGTGGTCTACGTTAGTTTCTTGTACGGTTTTCATGAAAGCCACTAATTAATATTTAATGATAGAGATCACGGCAATTTGAATATTAATAGAATTAGGTAAATAATGTGCTAGTTTCTATTGAGCTTAATAGTCTAAATTACAATGCTGCAGTTCTGCATCCCTAGCAGCTTTCATAACTTGGGGATTAAATCGTCTCGAACTGATGGTACTATACAAAACTATAACCATTTAACAATAATCCAGGTCTTATTTTGGAAAAATTACTTCCGATCTCTGTAGGTTAAATCTCACAAACTCTAACATTTGTGAATTGTGACCTGCTCCAAAACTTCGATAAATCCCGAGTGCATAAAAGATTTCTCATTAGGTCATACAAAATGTACCTACGCTCTTCAAAGTGCAAATGTCATTCAGAAAGTTATTCCTAGGTTCAGACTTTTGATGCCATTACGTTTATTATTGTTACATTTTCTTTTATTACCTGACTAATATTCAAGCTCAAAGATTATATTAATTTTAAAGTTGTAAAGTCAGTGAATGTAAAGATTGAGGCAGGATGTAATCTAAGTTGGTGCATCAGAAAGAGATTGGAGGTAATTTCAATGCAAGACGTAAGATGAGGAAATGACTTCGTATCTATTAAAGTTAAAGACAATTTTTCGAAAAAGGAACATCTGCACTTGCTGAAAAATTATTTAGCCTTCGAAAGATGTTATGAGAAATAGAAAAATGTGCCTAATATTCGATAGGTATCGAGTACCGAGAGATACATCTATTGCATAATCATTCACATTTTCTATTTTCCTTTTCAATTTCATTGGTATCATAAAATGTGCAAAGTAACACTAACGATAAGTCAAAAAGAATTAAATTACGTAGTTACGAACTTTTGTTTATTTAAACGAAACAATGCATAGTTTATTACGTACCCGCATCTCTTGCAATTAACTTAATTTCTATTCATTTATTTAACCAAAATCGAAAAGGTAGCATAAGTTCTAAAAAACCAATAGCACGTTGTAATTTTTAATATTTTGGAGTTTCTTACATACTTTCTATAAAGTTAACCTTGAAAATTCCAGTTTCTAAAACTATTTTCAACATTTGTAAATATACCGCATGCTATTTTTCTCAAGTTTTGGATCATCAAAATAAGTTAACCGAGGATTAAGGTGTATTTTGGTTAGGATTATGTCGAAATTGTCAGACTTAGATCACAATTTCAAATTCGATGGTTCTCATCAGCACGCCGGGTTGTAAACAGTTCCTATGGAACATTGGTCAGCCTTTTTGCCATCATTAATCAGCCTTCCGTGAATAAACAGACTATAGTTGCTACTTATTGTGGATTCATGACATTTATCGAGGTGGATTAAAATCCGTGAAAGAAAATTTTCTACCGCTTTGTTTCGTAATGCGAGCAAATAAGAAAAGTTGCTTGTAAAATGAGTTGTACCTACCTAGGCCTTGCTACGGCTGAATACATCCTGTCTAACTCTAAAAGTGTCTTTAGCATGTCTTCAGATTGCGCACTCGGTGCTCCATGTGCTTTGCTATTTTCTGTGATGAAAACGAAAGTGAGGAAAACCAACCAGAAGACAGCTTGAAACTTCATGATTGATATAAAACTTGAAAGTAATTCCCTGAAATAAAGAATAAATATTACAACTTATGACGGCTGCTGGCGTATTAGCACTGTGGAACTGCACGATCTTTAAATTGAACTGTGCACATCACCGACAATTAAAAAAAATAAACAAAAATTTTAATATGAAATATTCTCAATTTTTACCCACTACACACTACCTCATGCTGCTTGTCACCTCTCGTAGNCCAGAACGGTCAATATATAATTTAATAAAGTATTTGTTTAATATACGAAAACTGTCTTTCATTTCCACAAAAAAAAACGAAATGACTTTCCGAACAACCCTATAGTTTTATGTGGCCGTCGATGATATTTGACACATATTTAGGACATCAACGTAAGCCAACTCGCGGTTAAACCCAGTAAATTTTGATTTTGTTGGGCATTATATTTTAAAATTGAAGAATAAGGTGCTTTTAAGTGAAATCACCTATTTTTTCGATAATTCTACGGTTTGCAGTAGGTATGCCTGATCGTTTTATAAAAAAACTATATTACGTATTGTAGCTGCTTACATCCTTGGACAACTGTGCCATACAGTAGGTATACTTATGTATAAATTGTTTGCATTTTTTGATCATGTTTTCATAATTTTTTGGAATTTTTATTATATTAATAAATTAATATCTACCATCTCTTACAAATTAAGTTGCCAATCTAATAGTATTTTGTAATATGCAATCGTCGATAAACACCTTGATATTCTAGTTTGCGTACAAGCATTATTCAGTTGTTTTTTTTGTTTTTGAAGTGATAGGATTAATATTATTTATTACCGCTTAACAGGTTGTTTTCAAGGCTAATTATTCAGTTAGTAGATCATTAAAAAATATATCAAACTTGCTATAGTAATTTCTGAATTAAGTTCAATTATAAAAATTGTATTCGTATTAAAGACTTGACACAAAAATGTTGGTATTTTCTTTCATTGATCTCTTGAGGCATTTGTTATTATATTATTTTCTCGTTTCCTTCCATTTTATGGATATGTTTTCACTCGTAGAAACACGCCGAAATTGCTGAAAAGTATTACAGAAATGATATATTACTTTTGTGACAAAGGAATGTATTATATTCATGTACTAATGGTAAGAGAGAGAGAGAAAAATCGGTAGAAGATGATTAATTTTCATACAGTAGAGGTCAACTCAATCAAATTTTTCAAGATCAGTGGAAGTTGTTTTTTTAATTTTATAAAATCGGCTACTGCTATTTATCTAAACTTCACACGCAGCATTTAAAGTATGTAATTAATATGCATATAATCTTACAAAAAAAAAAGAATATTTTCTTGAAGGTAAATAACACATGTGACGAATTGTCGTGTTTAATATTTCAATGAACTTTTTAGAATAGTATTTTACCAAGCATAATTTTTATAAAATAACTAATAACTACTTCAGAATCAGCTCTATTATTCAAACTATTAGATTTATAAGTGTATGTTGTCCTGGACTTTTTTTATAATAAATTACGTATTTTACAAAAATGGTCCTACACATTTTTCTCATATTTGCGTAATTTTCCGAGGAAAAACTAATTTTCAAACAGGATCATAAGATGTTTCGCCTAATATTTGGTTTCTGTCCCACCAGATATTCTAATATTCGGGATTGGAACTAGAATTTTAATAAATTTGTTTATACATATAAATCTTATGTCGATATTTAGCTTATAATGCTACTATTATTGCTTTAGTAGGAACAAGCCTCCAATGCGTTTTTTAGTTAGTTGTTTGTCAAAAGTTAGATTACGAAAAAATAACCTTTTCTAAACAACCCACGCCTAGGATTTAAACCGTTTTCTATTTTCCGAATTTCAAAAGTGTCAATTACAAGCATCTGTTTAAAATTGTTGTGCCTTTTCCAATAAATTGGTAATTTAAGAAGTACGAATACTCGGGAGTTGAGAATATTGCACCCTTTCAGGAAAAATTGCAAGCAGATAAACGGCGAAATTTTAAACCAACCTTTAACACAAACGGGTGTAATATTTCACATTCAATGCTTTCTCACTTGGTAAATATATGTGTGTACCTACAAAAGTGTAACTTCAGAGGAATGAGAGCAAAACATTTAAAAAATCAGTTGTTGAAAATGTTCTTATTTCTCTCTTGAAAAAGTCCCACTCTTACTGTTTTTGGAGATGTTTGCTGTTTGGATTTAGCGTTGCTTATCTCAAAACAAATTAGTAGAAAATATTCTTAAACATATCTGCATAATAAAGTATATGTACTAAAAACTACCGTAAAGCAGAAAACCAAAATCATTATTAAGATGAAACTACTAAACATTTGATGAAGTTAAAATAGAGTCAAACAATAATCGAGTAAATCACCTGCGAAATCTCGCAGTAATCGATGTTGAAATAATTATCCCAAAAGAACGTTTTAAACATTGACGGAAATAATTATGCACTGCAGTTTTCACCGAGTACTACTACTATTCTTTGTTTTTTTTTTCAGATTTTGAAATGAAAGTGACTGAAGGAGGCCAGAAGATTACTATTTCGAAAGCAAGACTGCAGAACGGAAAGTGGTAAGCAGTGGTGTTGTCGAGCCGGAACACTCCGGAACGTCGTTCCGGTACTTCCTTTTTGGACAGGAACGCGTTCCGGAACTAAAGATGAATTCTGATAACGAGAATTGACTGACGTATTAAAAAAAAATTAAAAAGAATTGCTGATTTTTTTTTCTAATTTTTGACGAATTTTTATATGTATTATTATAAACAAGGGTTTGAACCGAACCCGAACCGGAACAAAAACCGGAACGAACCGGCTTGTTTTTCCGAACCGTGAACCGGAATCCGGAACGTTTTTTTTCTGCTGAACCGGAACTCGATATATATACGTATACACAAAATGGGTTTCGTAATGATTTTCGTTTCCTTTCCTTTTTATGCTATATACAGGGCCGATCCTGGCGACGGGCGAAAATTGGAGGAAAGCCCCCCCCATCGTCGTCATCAAATTTGGGACATGAGACCGCACAGAGCGGCCGCCTACCCAGGATCGGCCCTGTCTATATAATTATATATACGCGTTCCGGTAAAAAAAAAATCGGTTGTCTGTAAAGTCGGTTTACTGACGATAGTTGAACGTGACAATGTCATAAGAAAATACTGATGGAATGGTTTCATTTTTCAAAAGAAAATTTTAATTTTATTTGTTTGATAGATATTTTGTATGGATATAGAGAA